TTCTTACGTTGTTGTGGAACTTCATTTTTTTTTTCATGCGTAGGAAGCGCATAAGAAATCGAATGCTTTACAATTTTAGTTTTTACTTAAGGATGAGTGTATAGTGTGCAAGTAGATGCAGCTATGAGCCTCGATATAGTTGCCAGTGTGGGTGCCCTGGGTGTGGTTGTGCGTCTCCGTGTGCATGAGAACTTCGATGTGCGTACCATGTCATGCTTTTCTTCCTCAATCTAACCGATCGCTCTCATAGGCACACACTCAAATTCACCGAGCGACACACTACATCAACATCCTAATACATTCACAACCGAGCCCAACAAACATACATCCTACATCAGCATCCAACATTATACCACGTACTCTTACACTTACAATCGTATAAACACGCACACACGTACACCCGTGCCCAGAAGTATAAAATAGCAATAGTCACGCACAAACTTTATACGCAAACCGCAACAATATTGGCAGTACACGCCAAGACTCAGATCCATCATCACACCCACACCCAAATTTTTATAAAACCATACACACTATTCACTTTGATAATCAGATGATTCAAATGGAAGAAAAAAAAATTATTTATTTTTATATGATAATACTAACTGTCGAAGTTTATTGGAAAACCGCCGATTTTTTCAAGTATTGTGATCAATAGCCAAAAGAAACGCAATTTTGATGACATGAGGAATATCATATTAGGAGTGATTATCTTACAACTATTCCACATTTTCTATATACTAATAATCACGGAGAAAGTTTTACAAGAAAAATGAACTAGCTTTTTTCAACTCATTCACCTATTTTCTATGTTATCTAATGTTTGCGTGATGAACGCAAATTCTGACATCATCATACCGAAGAATCACTCTTCAATGTACGAAAACGAAAGATCACATACCGAAAATATCGATCGAAAGCTTAAATTTCTTTTTATAATATATGCACATGATAATTTTATTGGCATAGAACTGGCAATGTAGTGTGTACAATGTATAAAAACACAACTGCGTCTCTTAAGTAATCATATTTTCATTTTCATGTTACAGTTTTCGATGTTATTACTCCTATTTCTTTCAATAAAGTAAATATTAGATGATTAATTAATCAATATTGAATCTTACTTTTGTAGAAATAGGATTTCTTTTGATAAATCTGAAATATTTTTTCTCAACATATTAGCATTTCGATTTAATAAAATTAAGACTATAGCTTGTCTTGATACTGATTAATGACTATGATTAATTCGACAGTGTATGTCTTAATTGCATAGGTTTATTTTCGATTGTTAATGTATAAAAATTCTCATGCTTTAGGATATTCATAACACTAAGAAATTAAATAGAAAAAAAAAACGATTCTATTTTTTCTCGTCCTTTCTCGAATCATTAAACTCTATTGATGACATACATGTTTATCTTTAATGATTTATGAAAACTTGGAAAATAATTATAAAGATATTATTTTTGTTTGTTTTTTTTTGATAGAGTATTACATATTAGATGATAAAAGAGCTAAAAATCAATCTTTTATTTATTCGACAGTACAAAAGCAATAAGAAAATTCATAGCGAAAGTCTTTGTGCCAGTCACATATGATTTTTCGACACAAAATGGTGAATGTCAGTTTTAAATCGAAATTTGCAGTGTCCCTTTTCACCTTTTAAACCTTGTCCACCAGATCAAAGTTCATGAGATACATTTCTATATCATCCAAGAACAGCATGTATCAAATTTCTTTTCTATAGCTAGTGATCTATTGATTTGCTGTAGCCGTCAAATGACTCACACTAAAATTATGCACCGATCACATTATAGATTTTAGAAATAATCAGTACCAGTGTTTTTAAGGTTATCGAAATACATAATAATACATCTCAACTTGTTGTAAACATAATATATGTGTATAATAGTCTTATTGGTCAATTAAATGAATTTAATAGAAACGAAACAAGAAAAAAAAAAGTAATAAATAATGAGTGAATAGCAGTACCCAGACTAAAAAATCGAGTGTCAGTAGATCAGTATGAAAGAAAAAAACAGCCTGTTTATAATAAATAAGACATATCGTTTGTTTGGTAATCGATTATTCTTGGAAAGAAACAATCATCTATTAGAGATTTTCCATTCACCGCATTTTATATTAGTATAATAAAGCTCAAAAAGATATTTGAGCTTCAAAGCCTGATGTGTAATAACACAACAATACAATAAAGAAATAAAAATGATTATCTAATTCCCAACGATAGGAATTCCAGAAAATCCAAATCTTAGTTTTTCAGTAATTAGAATACGTAAATATAATTTTCTAGGACTTTTTTTTCACTAAAGTGCAGCAATCTTAAAGAAGGCTCTAAAATCCTTTTTTCCGATCTTTCTTGTAGAAAACCAATTTTTTAAATTTTCAATCAAATTGCTGAATCCGTTCGAAAAAAAGTTACAGAAAACTAAAATATCACACATTTTGCAGAAAACTGTTCACACTATCATCCTATGTAGTCTTAGATAATATTCTTGAAAAAAACTTTATCTACTCAAGTCACTATTTGTCTCATTTCTAGCATTGAAGGTAGTCGAAACAAAACATTGAAAATAAACTTCGTTGAATAATCTTGGAACCCACTGTGTAGATATATATCACTGACAAAATTGAATTTCAATTAAAAATAAACTTACACAGAGTTTGCTAACTTAATAAAACTTAACAACATAGTATATTCATACTTTAAATATAGTCTATGAGCTATGTTAAACTCGAAGACAAATAAATACAAGTAACGTTCATCGAGAGTCGATTCGCTTGACCCTAGACTGAGGTAATGGCCTTGAAACAGAAGTTCACTTGTGTCCATCTGTCTCTGTAATGCAGTAACCACATGGCAACTATGGGTCAAATGACCACAGATATGCTTCAAACGAGTGAACGTTGTCACAAATGACCATAAACATTGCAAAAGTGGTCATCTGAATGGTACATATCGCGACCAAATATCGCCAATATGATCACATCTGTAGTGTTCTGGACCTTGTATGAGGTCGTTTGGATCACATCGCCTACTGAAAGAACCATGATTGAGACTATTTTGAGCTCATTTTTGCCCATTTGAATCATATTTTTTCAATAGCGATGGTCAAATGTGTCGCATTTTTGATCATTTAGAGTGTCTTTGTGATGATCTAGATTATATTTTTGATCATCAGGATCATAGTTACAGTCGTTTGTCTCCTATTTATCCTCATTTGGATCGATTTCAAGATCATTTTTACCATTGGATTACTCGTGCCATTTTTATGGTTGCTGACCATAGAGACGGTCGAGTGGACGAAAACAATGGTCCAAATAACCGTACCCGTGGTTAATTATAGTATCGATATTGTCATTCGTACCATGGCAATGTACAGTGGGCAACCAAGTGGATATTAGGTGGAAAATCGAAAGTACACTTTTGCAAGATTCAATTAGTGCTAGATATACTTCGGACTATGGACTACTTAATGGCGTTAAAAGTTTTACTACGAAGTTCAAGTAGAGTGGAAAATGAGATAATTAAAAATAATTAAACATCAACCTGAAAATAGGGCCATCTATACGACACACATTTTTTTTCACAGAATCCACTGAAGTGACAACCAAAAACAGTATATATTATAAATTTGCATAATGTGCGCTACCGATTAATAAAATAAAGTGGTCAATTACTACTGAAGATTTCTGAGAAAAAAATTTTCTTTTTTTTCCACAGTGATTTTTCAAACGTTTATATTAGTGAAATGAGCGCCCCCTCCAGCCCCCAAACTTTGGCAGAATGTTCTCCTATATGCCCTCCATAACCACAGTTAGCACAAATGTTCGTGGATCCTACAGCAGGTTTTCGAAAAAAAACATGGTTTTTTCAGGTATTTTCGATTTTTCTCGGGTTTAGAGACGTTCTTATTCAATACAAATATCATATTTAGAATCAGCGCACAAAACTGCATCGAATGATGTATGATTTATTAGCTTTTCAAATAAAAAGGTTTTTGACAAAAAATTAGAGCAAGCGTCCCCCTCAGAGATTTTTCATTAAAAAATTATTTTTTGGATTTCACATTTTTTTCATCAGTGATTGTTTTCTGAAGGGTAGAAACTAGTATTTCTGTGAAAAAAATGCGATTTTGACATGAAATAAGTCATGTCCACATGCCCTCTAGAAATTGCGCACTGTGCAATGGTCATTTGTACCATTGCCATGGTCACTCGTACCATGACTGTAGTCTTTTGTGAGGTATGTTCAGATTTCCGAAAAAGGAAATTACAGAAATTTCCGAAGTTTCCATCAACTCGATAACTACATAGTAGAGCAAATCAAATTTTTTTGGAAATATTGAAAATTTTAGAAATTTCTGTAATTTCGGAAATTTCGCTAGGTACAGAATTTCGAAAATTTTAGAAATTTCGGAAATTACATGATTTTGGGAAATACTAAACAATTTAGAACACTGCTGTCATTTGTACCAGGTGTTACAGACAGACAGACAGACACAGGTGAATTTCCGTTTCTGGACCCTATCCTTTCAGTCTAGGGAATACACTTAAAGATTCAAACCTTAACTTTGTCTGATGGATATTATTTAAATATATTAATTGTTTGTTTATCAACCGAGCCACAAGACGTGACACAAAGGCCCTGTACTGGCAAATCTGTGTTGGGTTTTTTTTTGAATGATTCATGTTAAGCAATGTTTCTAAAAACTTCCGTTTCTTCTGTTTGTACATGTAAATTATTTTCGGGTTCTTTCCAACTATAAAATGATTCAATAGAGGTTTTGCATTTTAATTTCGAAAAATAATGATCAATGAGTCAATATCAGAAAAAAGAAAATAGAAAAAACGATCAATTTATGACTAAGAAACATATACGACACATTATGTTGATGTTTTTTTTTTCATTCTCCGAAAATCGAAAGAATAAAAAAAGAGAAAACCATTTGCATATAATTGTATTCGATTATCAAACATAGATGTATCAAATTAAACGAAAACTTTGTAAAAATGAACCATCTAATAAGAAGATTAAAAATATTCTAAGTAAGTAATTGAACTAGCAATTATTCTTAATTTGTTCTTTTCTTTTCTTCATATTTTTTATTAATATCAATAGATAAAAAACGGTGAGTCACAATACAAAAAAAATTTCTTCTTTCTTTTGTTAATTCGTAATATTTTATATATATAGAAAACTGATTACTTGTATTGAGGATTTTTCTAATGAATTATTCTATGAAATTTTTGATTATTTTGATGCTTTCGAATTATATGAAACATTTTCAAATTTAAATATTCGTTTTCAATATTTACTTGATTCTAATATTGTTCGATTGAAAATTAATTTTTCATCTTTAATATTATCAGATTTTGGATATCGATTTATCAATATTATTTATTCAAATAGACAACGAATTGTTTCACTTTCATTATTTGACACATCAATTACCAATGCTTTTTTCTCATGGATAATTCTTGATTTATCATTTCATCGTCTTGAATATCTTTTTATTTTTGGACTTAATTCATATAAACTTCTACCATTTCTCTTAAGTTTAATTATTTTACCTCGTCTTTTCTCATTAACAATTTATATCGATGAAAATATTGGAGATTTAAGCGAAGCATATCGAATAATTTTTAGTTTACCTGTTTTGAAATACAATAAACTCTCATTCGAAATCGATGAAACATATGTTCCATTATCAATTGTTACACACTATGATTTTAGTTATCTTCAATATTTGATCTTAGATCATTCATGTACTTTATATGTTCTTACATCTATGCTCTCTTGTACACCTCAACTATATTATCTTTATTGTGGATTTTTACATGAATCAAATCAATGTATTCAAAATGATATAAAAATAACATTGTCAAATTTAATTTCTATTACAATTGGTAGATGTTATGTACAATTTGATGAATTTGAAATATTTATTCGAAAAATTTCTTCTCAATTACAAATATTACGTATAACAACATCGAATGATACAGCTTATTTAGATGGTGATCGATGGGAACAATTATTTACAGAATATATACCTAATCTACGTAAATTTGAATTTAAACATCATGAATTTATTGAAGATAATTTTGAATTTACTATACATCATGCTCTCATACATCGATTTACTTCTTCATTTTGGATAAAACGACATTGGTTCATTGAACTTATTATTGATATACTCGATTGGTCTGGTATTGAAATAATTTATTCAATTCATCCATATAGGTAGATTTAATAAAATGTTTTCTTTTTAAAATAATATTTTGTTTTTCAGGAAATATTGGTATGAATTAAATGAATTTGAAAAAAATTATTCTTATTCTATTCAACAATCTCAATCTATTGTTTTTACTATTCTTGATCGTTTTTATATTGATTGGAAAGATTTTTTTATTAGTGATTTTAGTCCTATTTTCAATACATTAAAAATTACTCATTTAGTTATGGAATGTCAAAATATTTTTATTGGAACATTAATTGAACTTCTACAGTTTTTACCAAATCTTGATTCATTGAAAATTTGTTCTTTATCATTAGTAAAACCAAGATGTTTATATAAAGAAGAAGTAGAAATTCTTCATTCTATATCAAAGAATAATAAAATTATTAAAGTTAATATCGAACGAACAAGTGAACTTGCTGAAGTTCAATTTCTTATTGATCTATGTCCTCATATGCAATATTTTGAAGTCAACAATTTCAAACAAATTGATTTTAACTTATTCGTACGATTTATTCTCATGAAAATTTCAAGATCTATACCTCATCTATGTACTTTATGCATTTGTATTACAGAATCAAAGAATATAACGATAAAAAACCTACAACATATGATTAATTTTGAGAAATTACTTTATGATTACACAATTACATGTATACATGATAAAATATACATACAAATAAAATAATACAGAATCATATTTTCTTATCAAACCATTGATAGTTTCAATAAACATAAATGTTTTTCTATAAATCCTCTCAACGGTAAACTCATATAATAAATTCATCTATTTGTCAAGTACACTAAAACACATTGGTACGTAAAACTAGCGAACAAAAAAAAAATATAATGTTTAAATTAATGTATTCTCTTTGTTGTGACGATTTCTGATAGAAGGGATATTAGTGCTGATGAAGTTACACTTTATTCGATTCCTTCATATGATATAATCGTATCGTTTACCTAAAAAGCACACGCTGATATACGCAAGTAGAAGAGAGAATGAAAGAAAAGGAGATGAGACCAAGGAAAGAATAGATATGAGAGAACAATAGAGTAAGGACAGTAGCGTAAGAATAGAAAGGTGAGTACAATATATGTAGTATACGAATCAATGACAGGGAAAGGTTGAACATTATGTATAAAATCCAATCAACCGAGAGCGTTACCTTTGTGTCAACTGTTACGTTGATAGCCGAAATTGGCACTACAACTGATGATGATGTATTAACATAGAGAGATTGTTAAGGTGTGTATTTTTAAAGATATTAAAATCATTGTACTGCATCATCATTAGAATTCGGTGGCTCCGAAAAAAATAGGACTGAGTTTTTTTTTTGCCGATAACTGAGAAACTATTTTCAGGTGTTACATAATCTAAAGTCGAAGAGATCGATTCACAAATACATCAGTCGCAAAATATGCATACTCGTCACAATTGGATGGAAAGAGATATGAAGAATAATTAGAGGTGTTATTAAGATCCATGAAAAAATCTAGTCTCGTCAGAAAATCATTTCTTTTTTCTCAGAAAAAAAACACGATTGAACACTCCGATGCGCACAAAAATTGTTGTTGCAGAAAGATGTTGAGTTTTCCTATAGCAGTTGTTCGATGACGCATCTCTAATAGTATTTTATGACAGTAATAGATAAACTCAACTAGTTTTATTTGTTAGAAAGCTCAGTTTTACAAAAGAAAGAGTGCCTGTTTTTAAGCAAAATTTGGTCTTTTTCATAAAACTTCTCTGTTTTATTGAGTTTTTTTTTTTTATTTAATGTGTGTCTCAATACTGGCGAAAGAAGAATATAAAAAAGTGTTTACTAGAGCCCAGTGTCTTTTTTTAAATAAAGAATAAACTTTTTCACTCGAATTGCCTGAATGCCATTGGAGATATGATAAATACCAAAAATGGGTATTATATATATACTGAAATTGCCCTAGTTTCCATTAAGAACGAAATGTTAAGCTGGAATTTATTTATATGCGTAACTAAACATTCCTAATGTTTGCACAAAGTTTCATCTCAATATGATTCATTATTAACGAAATGATTGTACAACTGACTAGCTCGTGCTTTCTTTTTGCTGTTTCTTTTTTGTTTCGAAGGGTACACCGACAGTTGAGCTCCCGACAATTGAGCCCCGACAGTTGAGCCCCGACAATTGAGCCCCCGACAGTTGAGCCTCCCGACAGTTGAGCCTCCCGACAGTTGAGCTCCCGACAATTGAGCTCCCGACAATTGAGCCTTCATCGATTACTGAAATGAAAAAAGTCCATATCAGAATGCGCCATCTTGTTGCCTTGGTGATTCGCTGTTTTTTGCCTCTGTGATTAAGACAATCATCTTTACGGAGACGAACAAGTGTTCCAAACAGTTATTTTGTAGAAATTCATTTAATCTTCATTATTAATTCTCGTGCTATATAATTGTTGTATAATGTCAATTGTAAAATCTTCTAGAAACAAGGATCAGCTTTTGCTGGATGGGTTTCGCTATTGACGTGCTAATAAATCTCAATCAATTTGATGTTGTTACAAAAACAATTGTGCTGGTCATGTATGTTTTGATGGTACACAATATGTTAAAGTAACAGATCGTATACACGCACCAACTCCGGAAGAAATAATTTCAATACAAAAATTAAATAGAGCTCTTGCTCGTCTGCTCAGAATTCAGCACGAGAAAATCCATCAATCTATGAATCTATTACAGTTTTGAAGATGGAACAACATGCAAACTTAATAACTGCTGAACAATTGCAAGCTGGACGTGTAAAAGTAAGAAAACGTGTTAAATATGAACATCTTGATGAACAATTACAACAGTTAGCTTCAACTTTTCATTTAATCACAAGAGATTTGTATTTTAAACGAGCAAGAGCTCTATTTAATTTTTGATATGAGTGTAGATTTATTCAAATAAAATTATCTTGCTCTATTATTTTACTTTTTTCTTGATATGAGGCTCAATTGTCGGGAGCTCAATTGTCGGGAGCTCAACTGTCGGGAGGCTCAACTGTCGGGAGGCTCAACTGTCGGGGGCTCAATTGTCGGGGCTCAACTGTCGGGGCTCAATTGTCGGG